GGAAAATCACTGTGCAGTGAAATCGTTGTCATGCAAAAAAAATCCCCATTGGAATGCATTGAAAACCGGTTAATGCGTTCCAATAGGGAAATACCTCATCATCCAGTGAAGATCGCCCATAGAGAACCACCAATCAGCTGTTTTAAATCACTGTCTTGTGAAGCTTCTGTCCGGAAAACTCCCATTTTGTAAAGGGAAGGAAGCCGTTTTGTGAAGGGAAGCCATTTTGCGGAGCTGGAAAAATCATCATTTTGCGAACAAATGGTTTGCGAAGCAAGGACCTTATCATCGTAAAGTGCATTTCCCCCATGGGGACCATCGTTTTGCGATCGCTGTAGCAATCGTAAAAAAGTCATCGTACTGCAGTTGCATCGTACTGCGGGGTCGTCGTATTGCGGGGCACCACTGTATTACTGTTCTTCTTGTAATCACTACTACATCTGTTACTATGACTATTGCTGTAACTGCAAATCAGCATGCAATCACATGTCATTTGGTAATGAGAAAAACCTTGTGTCCAATGCTTGTATCGGCAGGAGATATTTCCTCTTTATGAGGGAGTGCTTCTGTAGCGCTTGCAAGGACCTAGTCATTGTAAAGCGCATTTCCCCCATGTGGACCATCGTTTTATGATCGCTGTAGCAATCACAAAAAAGTCGTCGTACTGCGGGGTCGACGTATTGCGGGGCACCACTGTATTACTGTTCTTCTTGTAATCACTACTACATCTGTTACTATGACTATTGCTGTAACTGCAAATCAGCATGCAAGCACATGTCATTTGGTAATGAGAAAAACCTTGTATCCAATGCTTGTATCGACAGGAGATATTTCCTCTTTATGAGGGAGTGCTTCTGTAGCGCTTTGTAGCTGTGTTACACATATGTTTGCTGGATTGGGTTTCATATTTTATGAATAAATGTTACCAGCTATTTCCTTTTTCTCTCCAGCACCCTCCCCCTTCCACTTTCTCACGTCTTCCCTTTATTAGAGGATTAAGGTACTTCTGGGCTGGCTTCTTTGACCATGAAAAATCGCACATACATCCCCAAGACGCATACATACAAACACAGTGATAATGCTACTAAGGCACAATCCTGAGTGTGTTGTTCAAAACTCAAATCACGTTTTATTGGACCGAGCTTAGCTTTAGTTACATACATGTCGGATTGCACCTTTAGCAGGCTGAAGATAGTTTGTTCTCACTGGAAATCAAGTTTAATTGGGAGAAAGTTCTTTTTTTAGAGGGTACCATTCAGCAAGCATAGCCAGTGGCCATTATAGCTGATGCATGCTGGGAGCTGCAGCCCCAAAAAGCAGCTCACATACATACAAACACAGTGATAATACTGCTAAGGCACAATCCTGAGTATGTTGTTCAGAACTCAAATCACATTTTATTGGACCGAGCTTAGCTTTAGTTACATACATGTCGGATTGCACCTTTAGCAGGTTGAAGATAGTTCTTTCTCACTGGAAATCAAGTTTAATTGGGAGAAAGTTCTTTTTTTAGAGGGTACCATTCAGCAAGCATAGAGAGTGGCCATTATAGCTGATGCATGATGGGAGCTGCAGCCCAAAAAAGCAGCTGTTTTCAGCTCTGAGATCTACCCATCCCCAGTCCAGAGCTCTGCATGAGAGTCTTTTGTGCCCTTTGGGCAACCAGATGTGCTGAGCTTGCCCAGTCATTTCAACCGGAGAGCAGTGCCTGAACTGATCTACAGTGGACCCTCTACTTAAGGTTTCTCACTGGAAATCAAGTTTAATTGGGAGAAAGTTCTTTTTTTAGAGGGTACCATTCAGCAAGCATAGCCAGTGGCCATTATAGCTGATGCATGCTGGGAGCTGCAGCCCCAAAAAGCAGCTATTTTTAGCTCTGAGATCTACCCATCCCTAGTCCAGAGTTCTGCATGAGAGTCTTTTGTGCCCTTTGGGCAACCAGATGTGCTGAGCTTGCCCAGTCATTTCAATGGGAGAGCAGTGTCTGAACTGATCTATAAAGAAAACCTCACCCTGCCATTGGGGTGAATGGGTCAGACCTTCTACGTGCAGGAGATTGGTTTGGGGAGCATGCTTCGAAGTTTGCTTCATAGGAAATCAACTTACTTTGACCTTTGTTACATTGTTCTTGTTACAGGTAGAGAGAAATAGCAACAGTTCCTGAAAGATAAACAGCAGAATACTATAAAAACAGGGTTGCAAAGGAACTGGAAGAAGGAACAACTGAATGCTGTAGTGGGGGGAAAGGGGAAAGAGTGGGAATTTACCATTGAAAACCAAATTAGAATTTGAAAAAAAATAAAAAAGGGGGGGAAATCAACTGTTCTCCATATAGTGGGAGAGTTATGACTGGCAGATTTAGTGTAGGACTGGACTGTTGACAAGATGGGAAAATCTTAGTGGAAATTCTCCCTGCATAGGAGTGTGGAGTTGTGAAAAGCTATGCTTACCAAATCTGGAAGTTGAGTCATAGCAACTGGACTGCTTTTTTGTTAGGTTGAAATGTTTCAGCACTCAGCCAAGTAGCTTCTTCAGTCTGAAGAAACTATTTGGATGAATAAATAGTGAAATGTTTCAACGTAACAAAAAAGAAGTCTTGTTGCCATGACTCAGCTTCCAGATAACCACACCTGGATGACTGAGAATCTTCACAGATATATGCTTACCAAAATTCAAAAGAGAGAATGGCCTTTAAAGGCACAGGAATGCTTTTTATAATATTCAAAATACACTTAAATGCATTTTAACTTGGGAGAATGTGCCCCTTTATTCACAATAAATCTTCAGATAATTTTTCAAAGTAAGGGCTTGTGCAAACTTTGTTGACGCCTCTTCATATGGGATGGATAGATGCGTAGACAGATACAATTTATACTAAGATAATTTCTCAGAAGAGCTAGGATTGCATTTTAAAATACTGAATAGTCTTTCTGTGTTTCTTTAGAAACAGGTGAAGTGGCTGATCTGTACTTGGAAGGGAAGGACCAGCTGGGAGGCTGGTTTCAGTCATCTCTGTTGACATGTTTGGCTGCAAGAAAAAAGGCACCATATAAGTAAGTTGATACCTAGGAATAGATTTAATTAGAATTCATTAAATTTGTGCAATTTTATCATTACACAAAATATTCTTGTTTATTGAATTTCAAAGAAAAAAGTACACTATTAAAATATTTCTCTTTTAGGACACTTGTCTTTCATGGATTCACTCTTGGCGAAAAGGGAGAAAAGATGTCTAAATCAATTGGCAATGTGGTTGATCCAGATGTGGTCATCAATGGAGGCAATGTGAGTAATTCATTAGTTATGTCTTCAAATCTGAAAACACAGTAACAAGATGATGGTTATAAGTAGTCAAATAATCCATCTGGGTACAGTTATTTCCTCCTTTGCACTAAATGAGCTGTAAGAGAAGAGAGGAGAAGAGAGAACACACAAACCATAGCCAGTGCATAGAAAAACCATAGTTTAACAGTATGTTTGAACTGGGAATGGTTGTTGCTCAGAACTGCATTTCTAGGCACATCTTCTCTTCAAATAGTGCATACCCCTTTCCAGATGAAAAGGGTGCAGAATTTGTCATGGGCATAATATGTATGTGTTATGTATTTATTTGTACATCTGGCTGCCAAGAAATTGTTAAGTCTGATCACTCTTATGCATAAAGACTTTTCAGATTATGTTTTTATAATTTTTGCTTTTATTCTCTCATTTTCCTTCTATAGCTTGATGTACAGAGGAGCACATGGCAATTGCTTTGTTGTGCCATTTCTCCTCAAATCTAAGTCTTGTTCTGATGACTTTGGTCATTATAACATAAAGGCAAGGAAAAATGTGATAGGATAAAGTTTATCTCCAGGTGGATGAAACAATTTTTTAAAAAAACGGCTGCAGCTTGGATGAAAATTCCCCAAAGTCTCCCTTTAGAGCTGAACTTCCCAGTGCTTCCTGTGTTCCTCACTGGAATGGAGCTCTCCCAGCTTTGCTTGCACATAGGAGTCACCATGAAAACAGAGCAGTTTTATGGCAGCTTGCCTTGCTTTATCAGTGGCTGCTCCATGTAGGCGGGATTGGATTTCATGTCTGATGTCTTCACACCGAACATGAACTTGGCTTGAGCCTTTTATTCAGATGGTTATTGGGTGGACATAGCCTTTTGCAACCTGCTATACCTGTCCAGAGGAACTGGGTTACAGACCCACTGTCCTCAGCGCACTGGTCGGGGTTGACACTGGTTGTGCCTGGTGGGATGAGAAGTTGAGGAAGGCCAGGATATATATTTTCTCCCTCCATCCCTATCTTGCCTTCCAGCTACTTCACCCAGATGCCCTCAGAAGATTGATGTTGCCTAAACCCTCAGACCTTGGGAAGTGGAAGAGTAATTGTTGAAGGAGTGAAGTTGTTGGTTGGCTGATTGACAGCATACAGTGTGTGTTGAGGGGGGTGGAGAGGGAGAGAGAACATTTTTCCAGGATCATCAGAGGCATGAAGGACCTTCTGTCTCAATGTGTTGCCTCCAAATTAATTTTTGACAATGGCTCAAATCCTTCTAAAAAAACATGGCTAATTCCCGGCAAAGTGTCCATGTTAACCTGCATCAGCCCATTAGCAAAGTGAAAGGAGAAAAAAGAGGGAGAAAGGCAAAATACTGTGGCACCTTGAAGACTGGCGGCTTTGATTGATTGGTTTAATTGAAATACGATACATCCATTAGTTCTTTCAAAGTATCACACTATTTTGCCTCTTTTTCATCCCCCACCCTTTCTGCTTTTGTTAACAAGCCTGGCTAAGAACAGAGGTGATGGGAGATGTGGAGAGCACAACATGGGTGAAGACTTGTCTGTTATGTTGCATTCCCACCCCTTCTGGTTACTTGATTGCATTTTATCACAAAGAATCCATCATAACGTATGCTCATTATTTCATCTGAGCTGTTTTGCAACACTGCGTTGGCTAGAGCTGACATTCAAATGTTTTGAATTGAGCCCCCGAAAGTCTTGTTGCTGCTTTTTCTAGCATTTCAGATTTATTGGGTATGAAGGAAATCCTTGGTTTACATAGTCTTGGGCCCAGTTATTCCAGTTTTCTTCTCCTGTCTCAACTCTTCGCTTCTAGTATGGTAGCAGCAGGTGGCAGTAGTTGGTTAAAGCAAAGCAGGGGGTTAAAAAGCCCAGTTAAAAACCTTTGGAAACTAGTGAGTCCTCGGTTGTGTATGCTTATTGTTTTTAGCTTTAATATTGGCTTTTAAATGATATAACATGTCTCTTTATATTCATAGTTCTTAGCTTTAAATATTGCATTTTAATTCTGTTAACTACTGTTGTATACTCATTGTTTTCAACTTTAAATACAGGTATTGTCTTTCATTGTTGTAAGTCGCCTTAGGTCCTTTTCAAGGAGAAAGGCGGGGTAGATATATTTTAAATAAATAATAAGTAAATAAAATTATATTTATCCTATGAATGAGCAATCTCCAAACTGCCTTGTCTTTGACTGCCAGTGCAGCTCTTGTAAACTCAGGCCTGTAGGTTTCTTTATGGAATCAGACCATCTCTTATTTGATCTTCTATTGCTGCTGCTGCTTTCCACCTATCTCAGCATTGGTGTCTTTTACAGAAAATCCTGCCTTCTCATCACATTATTTTTCCTCTTTTTCCCAGAGTAGGACAACCTTGGTAGACTGTTGCTGCTTTTCTAGTTTCCCTGATCAGAATCCGGACACTGATGTTTCCTTATGTGTTGCTTTGTGCTTTAAATTTACCAACTGTTGAGGTTTTGTAAGCGTTGGGAAAGGTACTTGTCTGTTGCTACCTTTGTGGCACAGCTGCCACATATTTAAGAGATGTCCTCCCATTATGGACTTTCCTGAGTAGTTGCTAGAACTGAAGAGAGTCCTATTCCCATCTTGTCAATTTACAGGACCACAGCACAGAACCTCCATACGGCGCTGATATTTTGCGCTGGTGGGTAGCGGAATCGAATGTCTACACAGACGTGCTGATTGGGCCCGCTGTGCTGAACTCCGTGCGAGACGACATCAACAAGGTAGGAAGCCAAAGAATTCCACCCCCTCCCCCAAACGAGTGCCTCCTCTTGAGCAGGGTCCATTTGAAAAGAGTCCTGGTTTGTAGAGTACATAAGAAGACACGTCGTCTTTTCTTTTCAAGGAACCATTGCTGTAGTTCTGTTTTACAACACTTGAGGCATCAGGCATTCTCCAGTGTTTGTGCTCATGAGCATGTTTGTGCTCATTTGTTTGTCCGCCACAGTGCTTATGGAATTGACAGTATCTGCCTTGTGGGTCTGAAGTGTTCTGTCAGAAGGGATTTTGATGGGTTTCTTAAGGCACAACTGTATGGTAGAAGAAACATACAATTTGCCACCCAGCCTCAGTGTTGTCTTCTTCTCTTACGTTCTTGCTTAATGAGACACTGCGTTAGTAGTGTTATCGTGCTGAGAGTTCCACCACTTGCAGCCATGGCAAAATGGTTGTTCCACACTGTTAAGACCAGGTGTTGACATCTAGCATCCTTGTGATTTCCCATGACATCTTGCCTCCCAGCCTTAGGGCTTAGGCATGGCTCTAAATCATGCAGTGCCAATATTTGGTGAGCTCTCCATTGTGCATAACATTGGAACATGGATCTTTGGAGGGGAGAGAACGCAGTGAAGGCATGTTTGGAAACATTGTAACAAATAGGCATGTGCATTTGTGGTTGTTTTATTTCGGCTCCAGGTTCCAGCATCTTGAGAGTTCTACCCACCAAAAAAAAAAAATACAGTGGTGCCCTGCATGATGACGATAATCCATCCTGTGGAAATCACTGTTTAGCGAAATCGTCGTCATGCGAAAACCCTTTCCCCATTGGAACACATTGAAACCCGGTTTAATGCATTCCAACAGGGAAAATATCTCGTTGTCCAGAGAAGATCACCCATAGGGAAGCCATTTTGAAAGCACCGATCAGCTGTAAAAATGGCTGCCCTGCGAAGCATGGGTCCGGAAAACACAGGGCAGCCATTGTGCAAAGCTGAAAAAATCGTCTTGCGAACAAATGGTTCACGAAGCACGGACCTAATCGACGTCCAGCAAAAATCCCCCATTGGAATGACTGTTTTACGAATCGCTATAGCGATCGCAAAAAGTCATAGTTATGCAGATTCGTCATTTAGGGGGGTCGTCGTTTAGTGAGGTACCACTGTACCTAAATTACACTCGTGGAAGTCTGAGCCAGAAGACCATATGGCCAGAATAGGCTGAGTCTGGGCCTAATTTCCAGTTGGAAAAGGAAGCTGCTCCTGGTGCTGGCTGGAAAGATCCAGCAAGCACTGCAACAACTGCCTTTTCTAACAGGCGACTAGGTTGGAACTTTGACCTACCTTGAGCCGTGAAGCCTTCCAGCCCAGCCTTTCTCCATGTGAGTACAATACAAATTGTTTCCTAGCACGTGGGACACCCGGAATGAAGAATTCTGGGATTTGGAACCTCAAAATATTGGAATGCACATGTCTCATAGCAGCTACTAGATGTGGCACTATGTTATTAGGAGATTAGAAAGTGATATCAGATTATTTCCAGTCTTCTGTAAATGATCATTTCCCTTTCCTCTCTGAAACTTAAAAATAAAGTCTCAGGTGGCAGAGTGACTCAAGTGGAACATCCAGAATACTGTTTGCAGTGTCGTGAAATCAGGAGGCCTAACTGGATTCTTGTTGGCAGGGTTAACGGAAAAACAATTAAATGGTTATGTCTTTTTTGTTTGGAATTTTGTAGTGTTCTTTGCTTTCTGTTATATATACTGTACTTCCAATTGGTTTTATGATAGCTTCGAAATACACTCCGTTTTTTGTTGGGCAATCTGACGGGCTTCAGTCCAGAAACAGATGCAGTCCCCACATCAGAGATGTATGTCATTGACCAGTACATGCTCCACCTGCTCCACGGCTATGCAACCCAGGTAAGTGGTGGAAGATGAGATGGCTGTGACAAAAGGAAGTGAACCATGAGTCTTTGAAAAGACTCTGTGAATTCATTGGAGGAGAGACTTGTATTACTGTCTTAGGTTGTTCCATTCCAATTATTCTTAAACTTAAATAAAAGTGTGTAGCTCATGATTCCAGCAAACATACAGATGTGTTACATTATCTATAAAAAATGCACAAAAAGAAAAGAAATATGTACTTTTTTTAAAAAAAAAAAGGCATGTTGTGTCAAAAGAGCACATCAAGACTACTTTTTAAAAAAAAATGGCATGTTGTGTCAAAAGAGCACATCAAGACATATTTTGGGCCATTTCCACCTGCATCATAGAGAAGGGAAGCATGAAGTCTGAGGGCAAATGTGGCTGCAAGGCAGTTTTTATGATTGCCCAGCCATCATCTGGGTCTCACCACCATTCCCCCCGCCCCGCGTGAGAAAGATGAGTTATGGAAGTCTCAAAGAGTAGATTTTAAATGAGTTGCATATTCCCCTAAAATTTCAAATATCAGAAACTTTATCCAGCCATTTCTGCTTTGGGTCCCCCCCCCCCAGCCAGGTTTCCTAGCTCTCAGAGCTTCCCCAGTCTTGTTTTGCCAGTTTGCTGTATTTAAATCTTGGAGGAAGCCATTCCACTTACTAACAAATCTCCCTACTACAGTGGTGCCTCGCGAGACGAAAATAATTTGTTCCGTGAGACCTGCCATCTTGTGAAATTTTCATCTTGCGAGGCGAGTTTTCCCATAGGAATGCATTGAAATTTAATTAATGCATTCCTATGGGAAAAAACTGAAAAAGTCACTTACCAATTAGGGAGCTGGGGAAACACCATCGGAGGACTGGCGGGGGTCCCCCTCAACTGGGATCGCCGCTTTCAGAGGTCCCCCGGCATTCCTCCGATGGTGCTGGGCAAGCCTTCCCCAGCACCATTTTTGAACTTCCCACCCGTTTCCCCTACCTTTTTTCCTTTTGGAGGCTTCCCCTGCACCATCAGAGGACTGGTGGGGGTCCCCCACAACTGCGATCACCACTTTCGAAGGTCCCCCGGCAGTCCTCTGATGGAGCTTGGCAAGCCTCTGAAGCCTTCCCCAGCACCATTTTTTAACTTCCCCCCCTTTCCCCCAGCC